ATTCCATGTTAAGAACCATGATTTCAATCAAGAAAAACCTTGATTTGAGTAAATATACAAATTTGATAGCATTTTTGAAACGACAAAGTGAAGGATATCGCGCCATGAAATCCAAAAGCTTCAGTAAGGAAAATATTGAAAAGTTTCTTACAATAGCAAATGACGAAAATTACTTAATGCAAAAAGTAAGAGTTTTTTTTGTCGTATAAGTTTGGTTACTATTTATTTTTTGTTTTCATGTAGTTTTAATAATAGGAGTTACGGGAGCTTGTCGGAGGCAAGAATTACTCAATTTAAAAGTAAATGATGTAAAACAAGGGTCTTCAACCCGCGGCCCGCCGATATGTTTTCTGAGACCGGCCAACAGCACTCTCAATAATATCACTTTTTGGATCCACATATACATGTGAGCAGTTATTTTCACGCATGAAAAACGTGAATTCCAAAACGAGGACCAGAATCACCGATGTTCACCTTGAGAACAGTTTGAGGATTGCAATCAGCAATATTAAACCAGATATTGATAAACTGGTTAAAAATAAGCAGTGTCAGACATCTCATTGACCAATTGCATTGTAATGATTTTTATTTGCCCCTTTTGTTGATGTTGGCTCAATAAATAAATGTTTTCTACTTATCTACTTGTTTAATCATCCTGACCATTTAAAATAAAAAAATCCTTATAAAAATACCTATGGTGCGGCCCGCTGCGCAAAAAAAAAATTTTAGCCCTTGATTTGTAAAACGTTGAAGACCGCTGATGTAAAAGATTTAAGAGAATTTATGAAAATTACGTTGCCGATCACTAATCAAAAGTGCATCGTGAGTTCACAGTAACAAAAGGAAATTTCAAAGACCTAAACTTGGTGGATATGGTTCGCAAATATGCAACACTGCGCCCATCTCATACTCCTCATGCCAAATTTTTTATAAATTATAAAAAGGGAAGATGTACCGTGCAACCAATGGGCATCAATACCTTCGGTGGTCTCCCAAGTTAAATTGCAAATATTTTGGAACTCCCAAGTGCAAAAGAATATACTGGACTACTTTAGAAGAACTTCATCGTCTTTATTAGCCAACGCAGGAGCTGATATGTCGGTTATAAAAAGACATAGAGCCTGGAAATCCTCGAATGTAGCTGAAGGATACGTAGATGATTCTTTAGAGAATAAAAAGGAGATCTGCAAGTTGCTAGTAGGTGGAGAAGATACGGAAAACACCGAGATTGAAAAAAAAATGAAATTTAATGAAACTGTTACTGCTTCATCGTCTTCGGGAGCTTCGAATGTTCAGAATGAAAAAAAAAAATTCATGAAACTGTTACTGCTTTATCGTCTTCGGGCGCTTCGAATGTTCACATATCTGACGAATTGCGTGTAACTTCTGTTATTTGTTTTTCGAATTTACCCAATTGTAATGTTTATTTTAATTATAAATAAAATTGTTGTACATATAAAAATCGTTGCAAAATGAAAGTCCATATTAGCACTAGTGCGCAAAAGTAACTCATTTTAGCACTCAAAATGATGACAAAATGTCGTGATATTGATTCAAAATTGTAAAAAATTGTTTTGGATATGTCCAGAAAGATTACCGTCAAATTTTGCGTCATATTCCAATTGAATGGCTTTCACTATTTAATGCTGTTGAACGACTTCTTTTAAACTGGAATCCAATAAAAGCATATTTCCTAGAACAGGGTGAGGAAAACTGAAAAAATAATATAGAAATTCATTTGCGCTCAACGAAATGGACTAAGCGAAAAACTTAAGTTGCCAGAATGTTACACACACTTCTATCATTCTGTTCTTTCTTTGTTTCAAAAAACACTTTTAACTTTGAAAATAATACTAGTCTGTAAAAAAGTATGGGGAATTTTCGATTTAAAGAGTTCACGTAGAAGATATCTTAATAATTCTTGTCTGGTATTTGTACAACCATACTCTCTTACCACGACAAATTTTACCGCTATAGGTCAAGTGGTTTGTTTAAAATTGTTATTACCATAACTTGTGGTTAAGTCAGACTTGCGATTTCTGTCATGAATTTCACTACCGATCAAAGCATTTGCTTGAAATTTTGTGTTGTCAACGAATATGCGTATAGTAAATCTCTGAAAATTTTGCAAAAAACCTTTGAGGACTCATGTATGTCAAAAACACAAGAATATGAGTGTACAAAACTATTCAATTGGGTCGGAAAGAGGTTACCGACTTTCCTCTGGACGATCGTCAACAGGAAAATGTAAAGAAACTCACTTAGGTGACTTAGGTGACATCGTCACGCCAATGTGATGGTATTGCACTTTTAAGTTCAGAGTGAAATCTTTTAAAAAATAGTTATTTAAATTCAAAGTTTTAGACACACTGGTGTGTGTTTTAGACATTGGTGATTCTGGATATAACCTTCACAAATAAAATTCTGTGAAAACATTTTATATTAATTTTTCATGTTTTCCGGAAACTCAAGTCATTGTGACATCAAAAAAATGTCACATTCACAGATTGTTTGACCAGACATTTGTGAAAATAAATCCACTCAAAGCAACAGATTTACAATAAACCTGGACAAAGATGAAACAAGTGGCATCTCTTCAGGTAAAAATAATTCAAACAACAGTGTTTTTTGTAGCCTTGATGTTTTTGTTGATATCTCTCATCAGACCATTAGGAAAACAACTACAAGACGCAGAAAGTGGTTGACAGATTTGAACCTTTGTATAATGCGCAAATATTATGAAATAACCAACTGTGAAGATCATGTGAGTAATTACAGAGAGTAATTACAGAAACTCCCTTCTCAAAACATTTATTAGTGGGTACCCCAATTTTTACTCTACCATGCAAAATGTTGCCGACCAAAAGCGAGCAACAGTGAAAAACAAATACAGGGTGATTCACGAGAAAGATAATGGGCCTGACTAAATTCTCGATGCAATCACCATTACATTCACGCAACTTACTTAGCGACTCTTAAAAAAAAATACAATTTGGATCCACGATGCCTATCATTGTTGTCAATCCTTATTATTGTCAAAAAACACTACAAATTTACTACAAACTGTGCAATATGTACACATATTCCAATAATGAAAAGACTGACATACAGTAGGCACGGATGAGGAACACGAAAAAGTAGTCCTTCAAATTTTTGAGAAAGCACGACATATGGAGCAACGCAGAGTGACAAGAAGGGTAGGCATTAGCCAGTCTTCTGTTTGCAGAATTGCCAACAAAAATTAGTTTCTTCCTTATTATATTACCTTGGTCCAAAGGCTTAAAGAAGCAGATTAAAATCGCGCAAGTTGATGGGGACGATACTTATTCCCGCGCAGGGGTAGATCTAATCGGAATTTTACCAAAAGTGTTTAGGCTTGAAAGATTGAAATCTGGGCCTCTCTTTCGGTTTCCGCGTCCGGAAAAGGAGCCAGAGAGGTTCAGATTCTGGGTGGAAGCTACAGGACATAAAGCTAAGTCCGGGTGAAATTTACAAGGCCGCATGTGCAATCACCACTTTTTGCCAGACTAGCTCCGGTGTGTTCAAAAGGCTGTTCCCCAACTCATAGCGTTCTGTTAATATTTATCGAGATAAGTTCAGTTAAATAATAACATCACTTTTTAATTTTTTGTTAATTAAAAAAAGATACACGTACGAATATAACAGCATGTATTGCGCCTGTCACAATTGTTGACACAATTTAGTTACTTCTGCTGGCAACATTGACACAACCCACACTAGAGGTGGTGGGCTAGGGGGCTGTCAACTTTGTAATAAATTAAATGGCCACTATGAATTGACCGCGACTTTAGGCGTTCTATTTTGTGACTGGCCCTATGGCATAAATGACACGTTCCTTTGCAAGTGTTGCTGCACCCACCAGAATAAAACAGGGCCGTATTTAAAACCAAAGTAGTGGTAGAGTTTTACCAAGCTATTATTAAAAAAAAATCTGCTTTATTTAATAATAACTTGTTAATAACCACCTGGCTTTTTTAAATTTCTTAAAATATTTGACTACATCAAAAACTATTAAAATATTTCAAGCATTTTAGACAAAAAGAAAGTAAATAATCCGACCCTGTTAAAAACTGACCTGTTTCAGGGTCCGGGTGGGTTCCACTAATTTATGATTTGTTTACCCTCTGGTTTACTCTTGACAATACCGCATTTAACTTTAAAGTAATAAAATTTTTAGTAGGTATTAGGAAAACGATTTTTCTTTACATTTCAAACAAAACAAATATTGGACTATCCTTTGTTTCCAAATATTGCAAACTCGTGGTATATTAATGGTGAAAAAAAAGTCTTACCCCTTTTGCCGGCAAATAACTTCCTATCTCTGGTTGGATCAAACTATTTTCTTAAAATGTCTTATTTGACACCACAAGAGATCAAACGGAGATTCAAAAAACACTTGCAAAAACTTCTAGGTATTAATAACACAACGAAAAACAAAAACAATTGAAGATTTATTTACTAAATAAAAAAACGTTACTGTGGAGATGACAGTGTAAAAGAAAACTATGACTGTTACTGCTAAGATGCGATAGATGGCGGCAGCGTAGGTAAAAATGCAAGGCCATCTGAATCAACAAGCTGCGCTTATAAGGCCGTTTCATTCTCCATGATAACTGTTTCTGCATAGTGGCCATGAAAACAAAAAAGACAGAACCTTATTGCGCGCCCTCGGTGGACGATTAATGCAACCATGAAAAAATTTTGTATACTAAAATTTACTTTTGTGTTTTATGGGTTGTATAATCAATGCGTAATTGCTTACTTTTGATTGTAATTTTTTCTAAGAACTAGTCGAAAAACATCAAAAATTATAACATTTTATACGAAAATATAATTTTATTTATTTAAAAAAATAAAGATTTACATTTGGGTTAGATAGTTATTTTTAATCTTTACAAATTTACAAGATAATTACAATAACTCTTTATTATTTCTTCAATACTTCGAATAAAAAATACAAATGTGAAATAATACGCTTGTTTCCCCAAAACTAAATTTATTGAAAAATGGTAATTATCGTTAACAAAGTCAGAGTGATACGGACACACTGCCGCTGTCGCAGGGCGCTGGCCTGTGCGCCGCACGCGTCATCATCTTCCCTTCAAAATTGCCACCTTCACTTTACACAAAGATTGATTTTATTCTCTTTTAATTAGTTCTCTATTATTTTTCTGTTTTGAGAAAATCCCTTGTGAATTTCCCATATGTATATCTGTTTAAAGTTGCTTTGGATTTGGATGGAGCTTTTAAACATTGTCTTCTTCTCGCAAATTCATAACCTTTTGGAGAAATGTASCTCCAGGCAATAAAATGACGTACAGTTCAATTCAGGCAATCTTGTTTTTTTAGGGAACAATTATAAATTCGATCAAGAAAAAACACAGCCCTTGGTTCTAAGTCCTTCGCGTCTGACTAAATTTTCACTTCACAATGTTTTCCTGCATTTTCTTTAGTTTTTCAAGTTTATTTTCGTACAACTTATTCAACATTTGAAATCTTACATTTGCTTCCTGTAACTTTTTTTTTTAATTTTGAATCTTATCTAGTAAGACAAATTTTTCTTCCGAACTTATTGCATCTGAAACATTTTTTAAATCAAAATCATGAGTATCACCTACTTTTAAATCGCTTTGTCGATCATAATCAAATCGAAATAGACTTGAAATTATGTAATTTTTGTCAAATGAGTCTGGAGTTTGGAGACACGGTGCAGGCGTTTCTAACGGCTTACGTTCTGAATTAATGGAAGTGGTAGAAATTACCTGAAAATTATTTATTTATTAAAGAAAAAATGTGCAATCCAGAACAAACCACTTTGTAGAAAAATATTAAATTTATAAATTGTTCTCAACCTACCTTGTGTTATGATTTCATGTTTTTTTGCAATTCTAATTTATTAGTATTTTGCTAGTCCAGAATGTACCTAAAATAAGCTCGGATCTTGGATATTTTATAGCATTCATGTTTTAATTGATGATTCATTGATTGATTTAAGMACTTAACCTAAAAATAAAAAGTCTAAAAAGTCTCAATCGACTGCGATCGAAATCGGTAGATGGAGCCAAATAAGGTACTGACTCCTGAAATGTCACAGAAACAAAGTTTATATGGAAAAATCGAAAATTGAAACGGCCTTATAAGCGCAGCTTGTTGATTCAGATGGCCTTGTAAAAATGCAAAGGTATCAATTTTTAAAGCTGTTAAGCCTAAATCATCGATAGGCAGGTTTCTGTGTCAAAACTAAATTTGTTTTACCATCTTTTTTATTAAACTATATTAAACTTAAAAATATATTTTAATAATACCCATCTACAGGCAACCAGTTATACAGCTACAAAAAATTTCAAATTCGAAATTTGCCTTGTAATTCACTATTTAAGTATACTTGAAAAAAAACTTCTAACAAAGTGTTTTCTAAGCATTTATCAGAAAAAATTAAACCTTACATAAAAATCGAGAAAAACTTAACATGTAAAATCTCAATAAATTCAGTCAAACGCTATATCTAAAACCACACTTAGGATAATAATTGTCCTCCCAAATTCGTCCATTCATCACATTAAAGCTTTGAATTAAATCACAGAGAAACCCTTGCTACCACGGTCTCCACATATCACTATTCCCATCCCCCGTGTCCCTGGAAGTGGACGCAGTAGCTTCACTGCTACTTTCTCTGGTTGTACTAGTTGCCGTCTCCGTTTTAATAATCTTCGTAGCCGGATATTCGGCCACAGTCAGCAAACCTTGAGACATTTCCGCATACTTTCTCTTAATCCCCTGACTGCGGTTTTCTTCAAAATCGACAGCATCTTCTCGCGTTTGCGCTTGTTTGAAACGCTCAGACTGATTAGTAATGATGCACAAGGGCTCGACGGTTTTTTTCGGACTGATAATCCTCTTCTCTCGGTCGGGATAACTGTGAATCGGAAATTTCATAGTCTTCACTTCCATGGTTTGCAGTGGAGGAATCGAAGTCGAAGACACTTGAGGCACTTGAGGCTGCTCGTGGTAAGTGGATGGTTGAACCGGACGGAAGCCTCGATTTGGGCTAGCAGGAGGGCTAACAGAAGTTGCCGATGATGATGGTATTACAGTTACGAAAGCACTTGGTCGTTCTCTTTGTTGCAAAAATGGTAAGTTACTAGAATTGGGCAAAAGTAACGCGATTTCCCCACTTGGTAGTCTGCTTGGTATCAATTGGATGCTCTGAGGTATCTGGATTCTTGCGTTGTTGTTTTGGTCACCGATACTTGAAGAAGGTTCATTGCTGGGATTTTGCGTGAAAACGTTTGAGGAAGAAGCGAAAGGCAGATTTGGAAAGCCAGGGAAGTTAAAATGCGCGAATTGTTCGATTCCGTTGATGCATTTTGTTAAGTGTGATCGCATTCTGTCTTTAAGACCGTCGTCGACTCCGTCTGCTTGGGCCACAAATCGGTCGATTTCGTTAGCACATTCGTTGAAACCTGATTTGAATTTGCGTAAAACGGAGGGATCTGATGCCATGGCTATGGCGAGTTGTTGGCGTTGGACGTTTTGTAGGTGCTTCACGGCCATTTCTAATATATCCGCTTTTTCTAACTTTGAATGTCTTGCCGGCTACAAAAAGTTGTTAAGTGTTTGTTGATAAATTTTTGTTAATATTTACGTCTTTATTCATTGCTTCCAAAATAAGTGTTTTTATCTCATTCAAACAGTGATTGATCCTAGCTCTTCTTCTTTTTTCCATTATAGGTTTGTGAGTCTAAAAAAGAAAGTGTAAATTATTAAGTTTGGATAATTTAAAAGCACATACTTTTCGTAATTCAGCTTTCGACATTGTGACTGATTCTTGTGAAGGTCGGATGTCGTACTCGTCTTCACTTATGGGCATATTGTTACGCTGCTTCAAATTTGTACGTCTGAAATTAATAAAAAAAAAATATTAGAAAAATCAGCAGCACTATTTTACTGACTTTAGAACTTTAAGATTTTAAATTTCTATTTGGCGTTTTTAGCAATGCTATTAACGAACTCGTTTGAGTACATTAACAGCAACCTAGTGCATTTTAGTTTTTAATGTTGGTGACAATGGCCTTAGAAGTAAACTGTTTTTACCAATTTCCCGAATTTCCGGTGGCATAAAAACTCCTGAGAATGTATTTCCGGATTACATAAAATATCAAATGTTAATTTGAGTTAAATTTTTCAACGCCTTCATGAGTGGCACTGTTAGATGTCACCAATTAATTAATTTTAATTAATAATAATAAATAATAAATTATTATTATTTTTTTTTGAAAACTTTTTTTTTTAATCGAATCGTTTATCAGGCAAAAAATCGAATAAAATGTTATATTACACTCGCAGAATAGAGTGTCCCATTAATTCGCTGTTATTAACGCGAAGGCTGCAGCTCACTTTGCGGGGTTAAACAAACAGCTCCACTTTCTCTGCTTATAATAGATAACTATTAAAACCTCAAAATTATTCTAGATTCTCAAGAAATGTTGTTTATTTAGTTGAAACTTCGATACTGAAAGCTGATAGAATATCGTAGGACAATGGTTCTTCTGTTAGTTAGTTTTTTATTTAAAATAAAATATATTTTTTTCTGAAATCGTCAATAACGTTACATAAAATCATCAGTAAGGAGTCTAAAATTGGCACTTAAATAGTTCATTATATTACGATTTTATGTATCGTGGGTTGCGAACATTAAAACAGTGTTGTCAAATCATTTTTCGAATGCAAACATGAGTTAAAAACAATCCTAATGCTAACGTGTATCTGTTTATAAGTATTGGTTTTTCAACCTACAAATACCGAGCGATCAACACAAAAAAAAATAGATTAATAGTCTACAGTTGGCAACGCGTTGGCTGGGAATCAGGGCTGGAAATGTTCCACACAAATTGAAAGTGAAAATGACCATTCACCGTTTTCGCCTTGTACAGCAATAAAAAAATTCTGCTCTAAAATGAACATTATTTCACTCAAAATGAATAAAACGCCAACTTGTCAAAGTTTCCACTGACATTTGATGTCAAAAATCAGGATTGCCATCTGAAGGACTTTAATCACCGCCTCCTAATTTTTTTTTTTTGATCACACGGTATTTTTTCCTGTTTCGGGGTTTTGTATGGTGGCTAGTTATTTGCGATTTATGGTGTGTACTATTGAAACAAGAAATCTGATAACACTGGACCCACTGATGTAAACTGTCAGTTGTGCACTGTTAGGAATGATAAAAACGTAACCTCCAAAATAGTTTTTCACAAATTTTGACCAAAGTTACAATTTAAAAATGCAACTCGTTATTAAACATATTTTTCATTATTCATGTGTTTTATTTGCCTCGGCTGTCGCATGACATCTAAAATAATCTTAAAAATTTTAAAACCACAACTTTTTATATGGGACATTTATATTTACACGAACTTTCAAGGTCATTTACTTTCTTGTTTCATATTTTATACATTTACTTCTACTGCTTATTTTTTGTTTTTCTTTTGCGAGGATAAAATACATGAATCACTGTTTTTAAGAAGTAATTTGAAATTAAACATAATTTACAATGTCAGATGTGTACAAAAGGCAAACGTGTAAGTACGACATATGTTTTCAAATCATATAACAAATTAATATCTAGTTATTTATTCGACTAGTTTGAGTGTAAATCGGACGGATTATCTCACCGAGTGGGTTATTAAACCACAAGTGTAACGAGTGGTTTATCATCCACGAGGTGGAATAAAGCGTCCGATTTACACTAAAACGAGTTGAATACAACATTTTATTCTTCGAATTAGACTCAATAAGGCTTAAACTTGCTTTAAAAATATGTTAAAAATAATCTGACGTTTCGTATTGAGAAATGCCAAACAGTTGTCAAAACTTCCTTACACGGGAGAAAAACCGTAAATTTTGACAGTGTCGAAGAATAAATGTCATTATTCACATTATTATTATTCTGATCGCAAAATATTATTACGTATATGTATAGATTGTAAATTATTGTAACAAAAAATCTGTTGGCAACACTGAATTCGGCGACTCAGCGCAAATCACCTATAGAAGATTGACTTTTGAATTTGACATTCAAGGTTGCCAAATAAATTTTTGTATTTGTTGTCAACCTGACGACAGAAATTACATTCAATTTAAAATTATTATTATATTTATGACAAAGAAGAAAACATGTGTTATCTATTTGAATTAAAATTTTTGCACGCTATTTGCAGTGATAAATAAGTCTTTTGAAATGAAATAAAATATAGTACGATGAGATATTGAAAAATGTTTAAATCAAATTTGTCACGCCTCAATGAACCGTGTTAAGTTATTACTTTATTAGCCATTTTCACGCCGCATGATCGTACGATTGTGAGAAAACACCTGTTGAATGCATCTAACCAACCATGTGTAAATTTGAAATAAATTCAAAACAGATTTAAGCACATCTAAATATTTTATTTAATTTTTTTAAAGTTACAAAATTTATATAAAAATTAAACTATCAAAATGAGATTTTGTATGTTAAAACTATTGCGCAACAAAAACTAAACTCACCCTTCCTTTCGTTTCAGAAAAAAATATAAACAAATCCCAAAAAGTAAACAAAATCTTAAAGAAAACTGCACTTTGATCACGAAAATTGTTGTCAAACTTTAGTATTTTTCTTGAGGGTGACTTCTTTCCGACTGTCAATATTTCCGAAGTCCAACCCGAAGGGAGGTCACTAAGGTGACTATAGAGAATGATCGGTGTTTCAGTGGTATACATTCCGATAGAGCGTGGGAATGAACCGAATTCGTGCCCCCACTCCGTCCACATAGCGCCGCATGGCTGAAGACACCCTTCCAGGGTAGAATACCTCCACAAGCTCGGAGTTCCCACGCGCTGAGGTGCTTTCAGACATGGGAAATAACTGTTAATAGCACTCGGACCGACGTGTGGCGGATGCCCATAGAGAGAGAAAGTTGCTGCTGGCTGGACTCTGCCGCTACTTTTTGTCCCCTTCAAAGGGACGAAATTGAATATTTTCCAATAGAGTTAATTGGGCTTTTAAGTAAGGTCGTGGTAAAAACTGCCATCACTTGTTTCACACTCATTACTTAACCTATCCACCGGAACTTCTCACAGGAGTAAAACCGGATCTTTTTTTAATAATCTTGGAAATATATTTATGATTTATACACAAACGTCAAACTGTTCTCAAACTTCAAACGCCAAGTCTGAACAATATTATTTTTTCTTGTATTTGCTGTATCGTAGGTATACCATTTCCTCTGACTTTTTTATGAAACTACACTCACCGACAAACTTATCGCATCACATTAGAAAAGTGATATTTTTATTAAAATAATGGTTACAAAAATAAATAAATCAAAAATTAATTAACGTTAAGTTAAAATAGAATTACGACTTAAACTTCAATTAAACTACAATTTAATGCATGGGCGTCGTTTGAAGGGGGCAAGGTGGGGCATGTGCCCCAATTTTTTTTCCAATTTTGTCGTGAAAAGCAAACATTGTGATATGTCATTTTACTGTCGCAAATGTGTTTAATTTTATCACTAGTTATAAAATATGATATTATTTTATCACTAGTGTTAAAAAGTGTGACATAAAGAAAACAAATAACACTATTTTCATAGCAACGCCACGACCTAGTATGATTTTGGAAAATTATTGAAATCACATATTTTAAAATTGGAAAAAATCTTGTATAAAACACGATTCAAAATGGCTGTTTTTTGCACATGTCTAGTAAAAACCACGATCATTTTGCAACTTGTTTTTTTAGTAACATTTTTTAACTTTTTTTATCATAGACGATTTTGGTGGAGAAAAACGAAATTTAAAACTTTTCATTCTTCAATTTTTTTATTTCTATTGATTATTGTTTTTTTGAATGTATTTTGAAAGAGTTTTTATTTTATGTTTTGATTATTCTTTGTATTTATTAGTTCATGTTATTTACTGATTTGTATTATTTTATGCTTAACTTTTATAATTTTTATATATTTTTTTAACTTTTACACTTTCATACTTCATACTTTCATACTTTTAGAGATACCTGTCTTATGGTTTCATTTATAATTTCCGTTAGAAAAAATATGGTTTTATGTTCCTATTTTGTATAACATTTCTTTGTATTTTTAAACTGCGATGAAGTTGCCCCTTTCTAAAAAAATGCAACGACGCCCTTGATTTAATGATTGTCAAAAGAAACAAAAAAGCGAATTTCTTTTAGCTTAGATAAGCTTTTTTACATTCGGAGGCAACCATTAATACCTACTATTGCCTCCTCGAGCCTGGAAAAAAGCTCACTTTTTTATTATTGTCTCTCCGAAATTAGCGGTGATTTTGATAATTTGACATTTAATCAGTAAACAATGAACCTACACCAATTTTTTTTGAAAAATCTATAGTCGATTAAGTTATTCGATAATCCTATATCATTAATTTTAGATCTATTTTCAGAACCCTTTAACTATTAAATCTTAAAATTTAAGTGATGGGATAATTATGCCGGTCAGTGTATTATATGAATTTTTGAAAAATCACCTATAAATTTTTAATAAATTATATAATGATTAATTTCAATTTTTGCATTAAAATTTTCCAATTTTTTTTATTACTTTTTACAAAAAATAACTAGAAAATTTTCTAAAGAAATCACTGAGATTTTTAAGTTTTAAAAATAAATCGTCGTTTTTGAAAATGGTCTGATTGATTTTCATTAATTTGTTCTTGTAAAAAATGTTTTGCCTATTTCAAAAATTTTAAGCTCAGCCCGGTAATGACCAAATAATGGAATATTTAATTATGTTTTTATGAGGATCTATTTTTGAAATTGAAAATTTTATAGTAATATCGTTAAATAATTTTTACTTTTTTTTACTTTTAATTATTACTTCTATTACATTCACAATCATCCTTCTTAGAAAAGAGAAACATTAAAAATTTATCAAATTTTGAAAAACATGACATATGGCAGTTCAACTTGGGAAGTGGTCATTTCTCAACCTGAAGTGCCATATTACATGTTAACTAATCAGAAAGTGACCACTTCCTAACCTGAACCTAATATTTCATATCAATATTAATTGTTAAATGAAGTAGAAATATTATTCTTTCCAAATTTTTACATGTAAGATAAATTGATTATTACTTTATGATTGTGAATAATATAGTTTATTATACAAGTAAAGAAAAGTTGTTTATTATCAGTGAGTGAAGTCTTTCTGAAACGCGTGCGTAACACGAGTTTCAGAAAGGAATGACGAGCAGATGATGCCAATTTTTTAACATGTATAATACAACGTTTAATTTTAGAGATACATTTATAATGTTTTTCAATAAAAAAATTGAAATGTTATTTAGTTGCTGATTTCTTAATTTGACATTAAAGGTCATGTAACTTTGTCTTGAAATAAAAAACAACTAAAACGATAAAAATTCGATAACAAACGGTTGTGAATTATTTAAAAGTAGTAAAATGAAATGTGTAAAATGTAATTATTGCATATTTTTGAGTGTATTTAACAAATTACGTGTGTAACGTCGCGAGTGGCGGCTTGCTGCTGAAAGCAGTGGCGAGACCCTTTATTGACGCATCGTATCTAAAATGTTGTTTTCTGCAGACTATTCAATCTAAAACATAGATGCTGAGTCGTAAAGTGTTGTTTAAGACTCAAGAGTCCCATAGAAAAAAGTTTTGTTGTACTAGGTATATCGAGTAAGATAAAAAAAAACTAAATCAAACGATAGTACCATAGTAACTATTTCGAGAATAAAGTTGTACTACATCTACATGTATCTAAGGAATAATACCTAGTTATTTATTCGACTAGTTTGAGTGGAAATCGAACGCTTTATTTTACGAGTGGATTTTTAAACCACGAGTGTTAAAAAGTGGTTTATCATCCACGAGGTGAAATAAATGAACTGAACACGAAGACGAGTTGAATACAACATTTTATTGTTCGAATTAGACTCAACAAAGGCTAAAATTGCTTTAAATCTGTTAAAACAAACTGACGTTTTGTATTGAGAAATGCCAAACAGTTGTCAAGACTTCCTTACATAGGAGAAAAACCGTAAATTTTGATAGTATTGAAGAATAAACAATATTATTAGTACCCATAAGAGAAAAAAATATTATATTTTGTCCAAAAATTTATATCTTATGAGCGGTTTGATAAACAGAATTCCAAAAAATTGGAGAATGACTCATACCTATTATAGTATAATACAGATGTTTAAAATTATTCGAACCTTTCCAGTTACAGTTCAACGTCGATAATGTTTTTTGAATAAATTGTTTATTGTTATACACAATAATGTTTCACAAAAATCAAACTTAAAATTGTATGTACTTATACTAGTTGTTTTAAAATATAGTAAGTACCTATATTAATTTAGTATGAAACTAATTAGTGGTTAACGGGAATATAATGATTTTAAAACACCTTGTATAATCTAAAATTTAGAATTTAGAATATGGAAATAGTTGCTTTTCCAATCTAAAAAATTCAAAATGTATGTCTTTTGGAAAGTATTCAAATTGTGTATTTTCTTTTTTTAGCCATTATGTAATTACATATAAAGATAGCTTGAGAACTATTTAATAAACTGACTAAGACTGAAATAAAATAAAATATGTAGAGTTGTAGACATAATCATCACATTTCTTTTGAAACACGATATCGACATTTTGTGGGAAAGTTCGGATTATCAGAGTCGAGTATCCAGTTTATGGTTAGATTATTAGAACGATAAGTAGTGCCGACTGCCGATTATCATAGGGAGAGGACTGAGAGGAGGGTCGGAGTATTATGGATTCGGATAATCAAAGTCCCACTGTATTCTTTTATAACTTTGTGACTGTAACTGTATAGTTTTTCTAAATGACTTTGGCCTATGAGATCGGTTGGTCCGACATTTGTGAGATACCTGTATATTTTTGAGGTCAAGTAAACAACTGTTTATTTTTTGTACAAACCTGAAACTAACAAAGAAATATTCATAAATACAAAAACTTTTTTATACAGCCAACTAAAGCTAACATACAAAAGATTAAAAAAAAATATTACCTGCTTTAATTCTACTTCAAAGCTCCAGTTACCTATGTGGCTCAAAGTGACTCAATCTACAAATTTTTGGATTTTGCACTATTTTAGTGATAAAACCGACGAGTAGAAATTGGAAGGTTGTTCATTATTATTATTATTATTATTATTATTATTATTATTATTATTATTATTATTATTATTATTATTATTATTATTATTATTATTATTATTATTATTAT